TCTAATACTGTCATGTTTCCCTGTACCAGTTCAACAAACTCCATTCCCTTTAGGTGTCGGATGTGCTCAGGGAGATACTCGGCATGGAAGGCCACTAAGAACTGCTCCCAAGTGACTGGTGTAAGCATGGTGGTCTGCTTGAGCTCCCACCAACGTCTTGCTTCCCCTACCAGCATGTAGGAAGCAAGGGCGGATCTCTGCTCAGGAACTACTCCCAAGGTCCTGATAGCTCTCTCAGTCTCCGCCAGCCAGTACTGGGCCTCTTCAAAAGAGGATCCCCCTGCAAAGGTGGAGGGGTTCAGTCTCATGTACCTCTCTATGTAGCCCGGGTCGATCAAGAAAGGAGCGGGGTCTCGTGGAAGAGGGATTGGAACCGGCTGGGGATAGATTGGGGGGTCCTGTGGTGGCACCTGCTGATATGATGGGGGCACTGGGCTGTACTGTGGCGGTGCCGGGTAGTACCGTGGCTGGGGCACCGGGTTGTACTGCGGCAGTGGTGCCGGGTGGTACTATGGAGGGGCAGGCTCGTGCTGGGGTGGCTCGGGATCAGCCTGCTGTAGCTGAGGCTCAACCTACGGTAATGGAGGAGGGTCGGGTAACTCCCTTCTCTCCTTTCGCCCTTGCTGGGCTGCTATGAACTCTTCCAGCATCTCATATAATCTGTATACATCCTCCCAAAGCGAATTATCCCGGGCCACTCGGTTTAGTGGGGGTCTTTCTCTCATTTCTTTGCACCTGCATTTCATAAGGAATGATTGAGTAGCGACTTATCGGTGAGTATTTCTCTTAGCATTATTGTGTAAGGGATGGGTCCGAGGAACGAGGCTCTGATACCAACTGTAACAGCCCCGGAAATTTAAATGAAATGTATATATTAAATTCTCAAATGCGGAAGCATAATAAAAATTTTGATTAACATCCCTTACACAATAACCAAAACGTACTCAAAACATGAAGGAACAAACTAACTAAGAGAGATACTCGAAATAAGAACTATAAATATAATTATGAAGTCTTTAGGCGTCCCCTTCGCCGTCTTCCTGCGGAACGGGCTCGGGAACAACGTCTTCCTGATTTGAATGGTTAAATAAGGAATGAGCTACACCAGCCCAGTAAAGACATCACACTATCTCACCGCCACGGAAGTAAAGGTGGGTAGAAAATAAAAAAGACTAATGGAGCATAATTTATAACAAACTCATTTATTAATAATAAAAACCTTTACTGTCCACTAACCTTGAAGAAATTCATGAAAATAACATATGAAAACAATAACATTATTACCATCATAAAATCATATGCACTTTGTAATATAACACATGTTATACTTTTGTACTTTAATATTCAGACAACAATTCTCCTCTTTTACCAGCCTACTAGTATCCATGGAGATCCATAGGGGGTCCCCGCTACACGTGAACCATTAACATTAATAACTTAATTCTAGGGCCATCCCCATACCTTGTCCGGTATGGGCGCCTAAAAACCATAAACCTCAATACCCCGTCCGGTATGAGGGTGAAACGGGCCGTCCCCATACCTCGTCCGGTATGGGCGCCAAACAACATAAGATCTCCATACCCCGTCCGATATGAGAGACCACGTTCCCGGTAGGGTTCCCTACGGACCCGGTTCGTCCACTATCTCCCAGGATATCTAGTCAGGCTGTCCACATTATCCATTTATCAATTCACATAACCTTTTTTCATTTTCTTTGGTCTCAATTATCAAATCAAACATAAACACGTGAACCAGTAATGAACACCAAACAAAGCAACACAACATCGGGTTCACCATAATTCAAACCATAATAAATGAAACTGGGATTCATGCATACGAAACCATAAAATAATCACATCAAGTACCATACTGCATTTAAAACTGTAAAATAGATCAAACAACAATTGACTAACAAATACACCAGATTCAGGCTCCATTAGCAACCTTAATCAATTATACACATCCATTAATTCACGAAATACCGTTTTATCATTTATTGAACCTTAATAC